TCTTTCAGAACATGGCCACACAGCCCGAAAAAAACCACAAAAAAACTAAAGTTGCTAAGATTTATAAAACGAATTCCAGTAAGTGTTGGAAATATAAAGAGAAAGGTAGATCCTGGTTCCATATGTGTTGGAGATGTCAGAAATTGAAGATTTATTGGAAAAAGATTCATATTACAATTGCAAAGATCTTGAAAGTTAATTATGAACTAAGTCCAGAGATCTATCCTTTAAATATGCTCAATAAAATTCTGTCACAAATAGAGAGAAAGCATTGGTGAGTTCTACTTTGCATAATAACAGTGGCAAGGATTCTTGTGACTCAGAGATGGAAACAAAAGGAGCTACCGACAATTAATGAATGGTTAATGAAGTTAGCAGAAGTTAGCCTGGTTGAGTCAGAGAGACGCAGAGATTACGAAGACAGAGTGCCTCCCTATAACTGAATTTTGCAATAGCAGGTGGAGTTAGGATACAAGTACCAAAAAGTAAAGAATTGTGAATCATAAGGAATATTTAGTTAGGAAAGAAAATTTATGAAAAGGAATGATAAATCCTGTGAGTATGGTGTGGATAAGTGAAGAATAGTGTGTAACAATAAGACGGAGGAAAAATGTGTGTGATCAAAAGTGAATTACGCAGGAGATACTTAGGAGATATTAATTTATGTAATTACAAAAATGTGATTTGATTGTGATTTGGATATTAACATTGTAGAATCAAATTTTATAAAAAATAAAGTTTATTTTTTTAAAATAAAATTCATTGGGAGATTCTTTCCTGAGTTGCTATTTATGAATCACGGCTGGCATTCTGTATTGCAGCCTTCTGCTGTAAGCCTCAGAGGAGCAAGGAGGCAGACTCCCCCTGTTCCTTCTTTTTTAATCTACATAGATTTCTGACTTTAGGTTTTGCCCTAGTTTATCGTTCAATTCGTTTAGAAAAGTTACTACCACAATCATAAATGCCTCCATCAAACTACCTTAATGCTGAGCCTCCAGGACCTAAACAGAGCAGTGGAGGACAGAGGAGATTGGAGATGCCTCATCAAGGGCAGTTAACAAACAATGGCTAGATCCACACTGCAGAAATAATCCGGTTTGACACCACTTTAACTGCCCTGGCTCAAGGGAGTGGAATTCTGGGAAGTGTTGTTTGTTGCAGCACCAGTGCAGAACTCTAGTGCCACAACAGACGACACTTCCCAAAATTTCATACCCTTGATCCAGGGCAGTTAAAGTGGTGTCAAACTGCCATACTGGATTATTTATGCAGTGTGGATGCAGCGAACAAGGGTGTGAGTGAGTCCCTGGATGATGTCAAAAAGAAAGGATTGCATTTCTAGTGGAAACCACCGACAATCACTAATTGAATGTCTTATGAGAGAGAACCCTCACTAGATTTGTTGGCAACACAACTCTAACTGTGCCCCTTTCAGCTTAGCTGGATTTAGGAAGGACAGGATTCAGGAATGGATTGTATGGTTCAAATAATATTTCCCTTGCATAAGGATTTAGAAGTGGGGAAGTCCTGTCCAATGCCACTTCAAATTGCATAGATGGCACAACACTCTCAAGCATCATAGTACCTGATTGCTATTCTGTTGAAAACAGCGATTTAAGTATATGATAATATAACCTCCTGATTATACTAAGCATGACCAATTAGAATTACTATTTAAACATTGTTACATTATGAGATTAGAGAACCAGGTATCCTCATGACTGCAAACGTGACTATCACTCTAGACCCCAATCTCCACTTCCAGGATTTGGCAGTCTCCTGCAGCTGTCCTGCGCAGCTGTGAAAACATCTGGATGATAAATGACTGTGGCACCCATCTACCTGCACCTGCTTGTAAAACCAAGGATCCCATAGGTCAGGATCAATCAGGAAACTTTGGAGTCAGACTGTTAATTAGGCAATTAGGAGAATTCAAGTAGTGGTCACAGAAAGGGACTCAGCCAAGATGGAGCTGAGGAGTTTGGCATAGGAGGGGCGGGTGGGCTAGGATTGGCATATTTATGTGGTTGAGGATCAGACTGAGACACTGAAGACCATTTCTTGCATGAGGGCACTCAGGTTAAGGCTGAAATAAAAACAAAGGAGGAAGTTGGACAAAATAGAGGGACACTGTTAGAAATAGCTAGAAGGTGAGTAAGGATGGGGCATCCTGAGGCCAAGAATGTCCCTGCTACTTCTCTCTTCCAGCTCCCCTGCCTTCAGCCCAAAACCTCTCCCCTCTAGAGGTGTGAATGTGCCATTTGGGCTTTGACAGAATAATAAATACAGCTCCGACTGGGCTCCTCAGGAAGAGAAGGGAGCTGGAGGTGAGAACCAAGGAAACCTAGCTCCCAGCCCTCAACCTAGCAGGCTTCCCTTCCCTTCTTCTTATTCCAACAAACCCCAGGGCCCTACTGTCTTGCCACCATTTTCCTAGCCCTAGAATCATAGAATCATAGAGTTGGAAGAGACGACAAGGGCCATCCA